GGTCAGCAGCACCACATTCATCACAGACACCCTCACCTGGACTGGAAACACCACCTCACTGGTCCAAAGGGCCCAGAAGAGCTTGGACTTCCTGCAGAGGATGAGGAGAGCCCACCTGCCCCCCTTTAGAAAATGAAATTGTCTAGAGCTGTTTTAAACAGATTTATTTAGTCATTTTGTACACTTCTGTATAAAAAAATGACTAAATAAATCTAAATGAAAAAGGTCATAATTTATTATTATCTAGAGACTATTAATAACAGGAGGTGAAATGTGACGAGCTTTGAATGTGGTGATGTCATTAGTGCGTACTGATGACATCACCACATTCATTCCCGTTCTCCCAGACTTTCAGGGTTGCTCTAAAGAACATACTTGGCGAGGACACGAGTCCGCACTCGCGTCCTAGTGAATTGAGAAACGGCCTCAGAGTGGGGAAAGAATAAAGACCAGATCAATCAAGTATCAGCATAATGGAGAACCGGCCCAGACCAAGGGATCAGTTCATGGACTCGCTGTCTCTCATTGGTCCGATTCAGCTAAAACACACGGATCAGATGTGATGTCATCACTGTGAGACACCCAGGGAGTCGATGGCTGCAGACACTGACCTGAATGGCTACGATGGCGCCTTCATCCTGGCTCAGCTTGTAGAGCTTCTTCTTCATGTTGCTGAGGATCACGGGGCGGGGCGCCACGCTGACACCTAGTGGCTGATTATTGGGCCCGAGAACATCCTCATGCTGCCACTAGAGGGCGACAAAGAGAGTAATCTTTAGCCGGGCAGCAGCAGGACAGTGCGCTGGCATCAACCCTGTCAGTACCTGGAACATGGCGCTATGCAGCTGGCTCCTCTGCAGGCTGGCCTTGGCAGCATCCAGATTGATTTCCAGCCTCCTCAGCAGGTCCACCTTCTTCCAGGCCGTGTCATAGGAGGAGGCCAGGACCGTGCACCTGTTCAGCAGCAGCTGGGAGACTCGGCCGGAGGCCAGAGTCTGCTCCACCGCCTTCTTGCAAAGCTCCTCCAGAGAAACCTGCAGAACCAGGAAACATCGAACCACTGAGGGCCTCTGATGCTGAGCCCTCCCCTCCCTACTAACTAGCCTAGACCCCCCAACGCTTCTGTTTAGCCATATTCCACTCCTGAACCCTATTCACATGGAACTAGTTTACCAATGGACCAACTGGGACTTTAATACTAACAGAATCTTTGTTTTAATGTCAGTAATTTGTAAAGTCAAACTTCTCCAGAAAATGACCTTTAATTTTCCTCTAAACTCTGAGGCGCTGTGAAAACACTGATCCCATACCAACGGGAATCTGGGTGAAGTGGACAGAACTGGGTGGGATAAATGTGATTAGTTGTTATTTCTTTCCTGGTTGCATTTTTCTTTGGTGAAGAAAGGAGGCTGAAAAGCTTTGGGTCGCAGACCACCACACCTTCCACAGGGTTAAAGGTTACAGCAAAACATCTGGATGAGAAGAAACATCTCCAGATCCAATGGTTGATCCCATCATGCAGCGCTCTGTGCGCTAACAATGACTGGCTAGTGCTGACAGGAACGGCTCTGACCATTTCTGGGGACATCAGGGTGCGGTTATCCATTCTCTTAAAAAGCTGATATACTTTTTTATTTAAAAATTAAATGAATCCCCTATGAATAGGACTCTAGATGAAGCTGCTACAGGAGCTGCTGCTGCCACCAAATCCAGGCTTTAGTTTCATACAGAAAGAACCTGGATCAGCGCTTCCAAGCGTTTCTACTGTTCCTGCTCTCAAACTCAGCAGAAGGGTCACTGAGACCAACTGGTTGAGCTGGAGGATTCTAACTGTTAAATTTCCCTACGGACCATATTCCCTATGGACGGCGTTCCTCTACGGACGGCGTTCCCCTACGGACCGCGTTCCTCTACGGACCGCGTTCCTCTACGGACCGCGTTCCTCTACTGAAGGCGTTCCTCTACGGACCGCGTTCCCCTACGGACCGCGTTCCCCTACGGACCGCGTTCCCCTACGGACCGCGTTCCCCTACGGACCGCGTTCCCCTACGGACCGCGTTCCCCTACGGACGGCGTTCCCGTCTTGCATAATTCCTGCCTAGAGAGCTGTATTATGGTGGACCGCCGATAGGAGGCGAGGAACCGTGCTAGCGTGATGTGTAAATAGTCTTAAGAACCAAGCTGGGCTCGGTTAACTGAGCCAAACTGGGTGGGAACTCTGCATGGATCGGTTTCAGAGGACTAGTGTAAATGGGGCTTATAGCTCTGGTTTCCCAGCTGCTGCTCCTTCACCCTTCATTGTGTCCACAGTAGA